ATTTCGTAATTTTATCTTGATACCTTAGAGCATGACATAAAAATGATTTATTCGATTAAATTTATTTTTCAGTTTTGCATTTTTTACAAAATGTGTTGTAATAGGAACTATAGTTTTGAAAACCGGAATATTACGTAAACTGTTATCATATGAATTCAAAAATTACCAAATGAATGATTTAAATACCATATATTTTGGTTTTCATTAACAAAACTATTTTTTTAATAGAAATGTCATAACTATACATTTCTACAGTTCGATAATTTTCGCAGAACTTTGTGGAATTCGTAATTTTACTCATAAATTAAAAATCTAAGATGCAAAATGTACAGTGCACAAAAAAAAGAAGAAAAAAAAAATAAAGAAAAAAAACCCGGCCAACACTGAATATTTTTTGATCTAATGATTTTTTGAGCGCTTGATCTAAGGATCTAATTAGTTTTTGATCTTTTGATCTAATGATCTGATGATCTAGTTATTTTTCGATCTTTTGATCTAATGATCTTCACTTTCTAAAACTTATTTTCAATGGTTCGAGGGATAACCACAAATTAGCTAATTATTTAGGGCAGACAATATTTTAAGTTACGAAATCAGACACGAAAACGTATTTCCTCAGAATTAACATACCTTTTTTTTAACACATTCGGATTTCTAACCCACAACACAATATAGAAGATAGCCGTAATCTGGGAAATACCTCTAAGGGAAATACAGTTCCCATAGTTTTGTCAGAAGAGCTATCCAAATTTCGGACGCCTTGATGTTAATTTTACTTTTTGCGTGTTTGCCATATCACGAGAGCTTTCTAAGAGAATTGAAAGACTTTTGCACACAATTATAAAATTCGTTTAAAAGATAATTCCATGCAAAAAATAAATTTTGTTAAATATTTACTATTTTATTAAATAATAGTCGAAAAAAGTTTGGAATTGTCAGATATACAATTTTTTACATAATTTTTCACTAAATAAAGTAAAAATATTTACTTAAATTTATTTTTTGAATGGAATTATCTTTGGATAAACAAATTTTATAATTGAGGGTCAAAATTGCGTCTCTAAGCTTAAAAAGATCGCTTAAAAAGTGTTCGAGATATGGTGAAATACGGAAAAAGGAAAATTAACATTAAGAGGTCCGAAATGCGGATCGCTCTCCTGACCAAACTATGGGCATCATATTTCCCAGATAGCGGCTATCCCCTACATTTAGGGGGTCAAAAATCAGAATTCGTTAAAAAAAGGTCTGTTTATTCTGAGAAAGTACGTCTTTTTTGCCTGATTTCGTAACTTAAAACATTGTCTACAACTAATTAATTAGCATATTTGAGTTCCCGCCTTCGATCCATTAAGAATCAGTCCTATAACATGAAGATCCGATCATTAGATCAAAAGTTATTCAGGGTTGTCCGTTATATATATATATATATATATAAACTGCTGTTTGTAGAAAATGCAACACCATGAAGGAATCATCAGAATCAAATGAAATTCGCAGCAAATGTCAATTATAGGATATTATGCAAATTAATAAAGTTTCAGAGCCATCGCGCGTGCGTGGCGCGCGCAGCGCCCTCTGAATTGATGCTGAAAGCGTATAAATAAAGTGCTGTAGCGGGACGTTGAAAATAGTCTATGATTATTTGTTAGTGGCAAACGTTTAGTGAGACCTGAGTATGCCTCCACGACGGAAGAATAAGAAATTCAAGCAACTTACGGAGTTTGAACGAGGGAGGATAATCGGCCTTCGANCACGCACGCGCGATGGCTCTGAAACTTTATTAATTTGCATAATATCCTATATCCATTATTAAAATAATATTTCATTTGATTCTGATGATTCCTTCATGGTGTTGCATTTTCTACAAACAGCAGTTTATATACATATCATTCATATTTCACAACAGCTTTTAGCTTTAATTGCGGCTTGCTGCTAAATGATTATTAAACTTTAAAATCCATTTAAAATCTAAAAAAACATCAAAAATATTTCAGAAATTCAAAAAAAAAAACTTACATTAATATTAAGTTATTCAGTGAATATGTTTTCGCGAAGTTTAAAGTCATGTTTCAAAGAATACTTTCGCGTGATTAAGTCGGAATAAATTCGAGTGTCTTCAAAAACTACTTCAACATGCAAATAGTAACAGAATTTTAAACCTATTACTTACTTACAAGTTGAACAAATATTTAAAGCGGATTTTGTACTAAAAATATATTATTTCCGAGAGGATGTAGTTTTATTTTATTTTCCCCAGAAGATTAAGTTATTTAAAAATAAAAACAGTAATCGCGCAGTCATTAGTTAAAAGGTAATGAGAAATCAGTTTTAAAAAGTAGAATGCTTAATATAAAATAATAGTTTTTACTCGCGATATTGTAGATATATTTTAACTCTTTTTAATCATAAAATGATGTAAGAGAGATTTTTTTCGTATTAAGTTCGTAAGTATAAAAAAATGCATTAATTTACTTTTTAAACTAAAAGCATGAAAATAATTATGGCTGTTTTGGAGGTAAAATTATAGAGTTTTACTCGGAGAAAAAATTTATTCCATTCATTCCGCAATTCTTCTGTTCGCATGATAGCTGTAAACTGGAAAATTTTGGTTTTAAAAATTATAGTTCTTTTTAGCAGAAATTTAGTAAAAAATACATAACTGAATAGTAAATTTAACCGAATAAAGGGTTTTTATACCTTGCTCCAAGGCATCATGATAAAATTACCACATTTTATCTCATTTACCAAGTTTTATCACATATTATGAAACCATATTTTATTATAACTCATACCAAAATCACTACTAAGGCACTTCGTTAAAAATTACTGAACCTTTTGGTGTTCCCATAGACTTACCTGTATTCAATGCAACTTAGGAAAATATTTTTGAATTATATATTTTTACACTTTCAAAATTGAGCCCTGCCTAGTTATTAACTTAAAAAACTAGTTTTCCTTAAAGAGTCTGTAACGTTTCTCAAAGTTTAAGGAAAACAAAATTCAAAAACAAACTCTAAAGTATTGAATGAGCTTTCGTATAAGTAGGTCAATTTACGTCAAAAAATATAATTGGTACTAATAATGATGCATCAGTTTTCTTGTAAAAGATAGTGGAGCTCTTTAAACGAGGGTTGAGATTTCTATATTTTAATTTGTATAAATTTCTAAACTTGTACCTGAAAAATTACCTAATTAATGCATTTTCTATAATTTGAAGAAAGGTTTCTGTTCGTATGATAACGTACAGTAATTTAAAGAAAAAAAGAAAGTATAGTAATTTTTCATCTTTGTTTCAATAATGATTTTGAAGCAAGTGTTTTTAGGATATAGTAAAAAGAAAAATGTACTTTGTGCTTATGAAGAAATAAAAACCTCAATTAGAAATTTTAAAAAGAAATATGATGTGAGTAAAAAGAATTCTACTTTATATGGAAAGGGTGTGTTAAATCTTTAATTAAATCGTAAAAAAATTGAAAATATAATTGAAAATATAATATAACTCTCCATTTTTTCTTGGGGGGGGGGAGGTAAAAGGTCTCCGAAGGACGAAAGAAAAGATTCAGCCTGTTTGAATTAACGCAATTTATTTCATAAACTATTTCGAATTTAGTTAAAAACATTTAACATGAAACTGTAAAAAATTTCGGATCAAATTAAGGTATAAAGTGCCGTCACTTTCGGTGCATCATCCATAAAATGCATTTTACTGTAAAAGTCATTTTAGGATTTCTACCGTAAAATATGAGATCGTAATTTTTACAGTGATATTTATTTAAGGAGAGAGATTCAGTGATTTTTACGGTATTTATTATTGTAGAAATTACGGTAAGTCAAATTTTTTATTCCACAACATTTTCCGGTAAAAATTGATTTTGCGGAAAAAGTTCCGATACCCTGAATTACGGTACTTTTTACCGTAATTTGATCCAGAATTTTTACAGTATAGAATAATACAAAGCTAAACACGCTTTTTTCATTTATTATAAGATCCTTAAATTTATTTAGAAAAACAAAACATTTTTTTTTGAGGAAATCAAAATGTTGGTCTGCTGTGAAGGTAGAAAAATGTAAGGCTGCTTTAAAATAAAACAAAGTGAAATTGTAATTTAAATTGAATAGCAAATTATTAAAAAAACATTCTTATTAATTTATTGGAACACCTCATACTTTACCAAAGATACATTTAACTAGGATAAGGAGACTAATATCATATAAGTGTATGAATCATAATTAGTATACAAATTAATTGGATAATTTTTTTTCAATCTCGGTTAGATCAAAGGAAAAACATTAACAAACTGAATTTGTTCCTAATGAAACGTACAAACATGGTTATCTTACGACAAAATTGTAATGAAAATTCAGGCATTTGAGACATAATGGAGCTTTATAATCTTTTCTTCACAGGGCCTTGAAGACCAATGTTAGCTATGTCCATCATTGTGGATATTAGCGATTTCTTCTTCTAGCAATGTTAGAAAGGTTAGAAGAAGGTCAAAGTTTAGGCCTATGTCATGTCACTGTCAGAAAAACGAAGTTCTCAATTTAGTGAGTATGACTTCTCACAGGTTTGATGCAAAGGTTAAAGTTTTCAGATCAACGAAGAGCTCTAGACTCCATTATGGTCAACTTATATCATCGATGGCAGCGTTTTTATATCATTGATGGCAGTTATATCATTATGGCATGTGGCAATTACACCATTATGTTTAGATACCATGATGGCAAAGTTACTTTAACCGTATGTCAAATGTTTAGATGTTTATGGAATTTATGCCAAAAATTAACGATGTTTGCATGTATCATTTCGTGATAGTTATTTCTTGATATTTTTTTTTTTATATTTCATAAAAAGGTTGAAAACAAAACATCAATTTTTTACTATATTAATAAAAAAAACTTACTTTTTATTTACTTACTTTTTATCCGGACATATTGTAGATAAAACTAGGATTTATTAAAAGTACTGAGCATGATAAATTCATTTATTTCAAACTTACCCCATTTATGAATTTTTAACTTCCACGATTCAATAAAATTAAGCCCAGCTGATAGCAACCTCAGAAATAATGTTGAAAACAGTATAAGATGAATTCCTAAATAAATGATTCCTTAAGTCAGCCATTTTGATATTAGTAAAAAAATGTTTAATTTATGTTTACAATTACATTTTGAAAAATATCTATAATTATTGCTGTTAATCTAAATACTAAATTGCGCTAATTACCTCAGTTAAAAATTGTATGAAACAGTACTCGTAAATTATCATAGTTATTTTTCATTAAATGCAATTGTGGTTGGTCAAATAAGTCATAAGAATACATTAGATAATAATATTCGAACAAAAATTAAAATATTTTAATTAATATTTCTCATTATTTATATCTGAACGATTATATAGTATGTTTGATAATATATGCTTTAAAAGCTTGTCAAAAATTAACATAAAAAGATGTGTAATTTCGAAACCAGAAATGCATACTTGTGGGGAATATAAAAATGGTCGTAAAATATTTGATGAATCACACTGAATTTGGGATTAAAAAACATCTCAATGAGTTTAGTTCTCAGATAGGAAGAAAAAGGCGAAATTTGATTATTTAAAATGCTTTTTGTTTTATCTGATAAATAAATTGGTTTTTAAGCTAATAATAGCGTCATTACTGTGTGATCGACTTCCATTCTGATTCACCAGATTTTGTGAATAACATTAAGCACTTGAATTTTTTGAAACGAATAAAAATTTCTTTTAAATATTTGACAAAATCAATATTGCTAAGTAGAATATAAATTGTAAAATGTGCACATAGACCAAAATTTTGGTAAAATTACCGTACTGTATTGTTATGACATTTCTAGTGAAAAAGCCCATAATTCTGATTAATCAAACCAAAATATACTGTAATTAAACCATTCATTATATTAATGGTTTCACCAGAATTCTAGTTTTCAATATTTTAGCTCTTATTACCACACATTTAGTAAGAAATACAAAGCTTAAAAGTAAATTTAACCGAACAAACGGTTTTCATGCCATGCTCTAAAGTATTTTGATAAAATTACCAATTTTTTCAGACATTATGAAACTATATTTTATTGTTTATTTGATCAATATAATTACCAAAGGGCTTCGGTAAAAATTACCTAGCTCTTTGGTGTTCCCATAGAGATTCTGGTTGTTTTTACCATACTTTTTTTCAGTGGGATAATCTGCATTGAAATATTTCTAGTGTTTATTAAATAGGGGTAGCTAACAAAATTGAAAATTGGTATTTTGGATTGTTCTTGAGTATAGCGTACAGCATTAGTCCACTATAGCACTAATGACGCTTAATTCCAATTCCCTATATCTTTTTTTTTATCTAGATTGGAGAAATTTTTTTAAGGGGAATTTTAATGGATTGTATTTGGCCATCCGCACAAATTCCCTGTTTTGATTATCTAATTCAGCCCTTGCTATCCTCGGTAGAATTTTTTTCTATTCACATATTGTTTCAAGTTTGAATTGGAGGGATAAATCTTTCACAGACTCACCGCTCAGCGGCTCCCTAAAATATTACACAGATTGATTGAAAATCCTCTACTTGTCGCTTTCCTTCTCCGACAATAATATCTAATTCAAATACAATTCATTTTATTTTTTTTTCCATCAAAATTTGATAGAAAGAAAGAGATAGACCGAGCTGAGCTTTTTACACAAAATTTTATTCTTTCAGCTGTATTATTGCTTAGTTTCTAAAATTTTTCAATTCCTATATACATTTACGAAATGAAACTTTGAATTTTAAACTTTAGAAACACAGATTTTGTAAAAATAAACTTTTTAAAATATAATTTAAAAAAACGGTGTCCAAAATTTGAAAATATTAAATAACGGAGAAAAATTGAATGCAGAAGTAAAATTTTTAAATTCCAGGGTATTTCCAATATCCTGGTTTAACTTTAATAATTTTATTTCAATAACTTTAATAATTTACTGAACTTTTTATAATTTTTTGCGTAAGAAAGGAATTCATAAATATGTTCAAAATGTTCACTAAAAATAAAACAAAGTAAGAAAATCCGCAAAATAAGGTTATTTAAAACATTATTAAAAATAAACGTTTTCTTATTTAAAAAAATAAAGTTATAATTTATATTCTTGTTGAAATAAAAAGCCTTTTTGGTGTTTAAGAAAAAGCTGTTAACACTGTGAGAAAAAACATATCTTAAAATCTATATTCTCAATTTTTTTGTCGACAGTGTATGCGAGCTTTTTCATAATTGCTGTCGTGATTGTAGTTTTTATTAGTTCATAACATTACACATCGCATAATATAACCAATTATGTAATTATTTATTCAGATTAAAATGCAGTTTCATTTGTAATCGAAAAGTTGCTCTCTTACAAAACAGTTAAGTTATTTTGACAAAGAAAAAAAAAGCAACTTTCCTGAACTAACTATGCAACTTTTAGCAAAAGCACTCAAATGGGTTTTAAACTATTGACCTATTTTCAGCTTTTAAATAAACATTCTTTACAAGAACAAAAACACAAAGAATTATTTTTAGATTTACAAAGAAGATATATTTCTTAACCATAAAATTATATTACTTACATTTATTGTTCTTACATTTTAAAGATGTAAAATTAAAGAATTTTTATTCAATTACTTTTTGCATTTAATAGACTTTTTAAACTGTTTTGTTAATTAATTTGTTATTTAATTAATTACATTAATTTAGTGTCTCATAAAACTATACAATATCCGGTTCAAGACAAAAAGGTTCGAATCTATTAACTGAATTATATTATTTTATTGTTTTATTAAAAAAAAATTAAAAGCATGGATCCACATTTAAGAAGTAAAGCTTTTCCGCTACAGCACGCTGTGGGCCAAGAGGGTCACGGAGGTTGAGGCTCCAAAATTTCATGAAAAACGTCATGATTGCTGCAATGTGGTTAGAATTGCGCACAGGCCGTCTTTACTTCCCAGACAAGCTAGTATCCATCGATATGAAGCTAGATGGGCTTCAATCCCCCTAGGGATTAAACCCCAGTGACTCAACACCTGAACCATCGTAGCTGAAATCGACATTTAATAGTAGTTTAAAAATATAAATTTTTCACAATAGTTTATTGCGAATGTATTAATTTTTCAGTATTGTTTGATTAAAATTTCGAAAAAATCTAAATATGAACCAATGAGTTCTTGATTTTTGACAGAAGGCTATTTTAAGACAGTTTTGTGCAAAAAGGTTTTGAGTGGGTTCACAACCCACTCAATATTTAAATTAAATGAAATTTTTAAATTAAATAATGTGTCTATAACACAATGCGAAGTATATAAGTATATATATTTCATGCTGTTTGGCCTTAAAGTGTGCATATTTGAATTTATAAGTATGAAGTATGTTTTAAATCTTAAACAATTTTTCTCGCCAACGAAATTTCTAGTAATCAAATGACAATCGTTCAGTAAGTCAGATCAACGAATCAATCTGTAATAATTAATAAAACAGTGAACATATATAATACAAAAATATTAATAGATAGCTAAAATATCAAATTACAAATATTTCATCATATAATTTGAAAAACAAAGGCAATTGGGAACAAACTTTTTATTCTAACACAACGATATTTTTATGTAAACTAAAAGAAACAATGAATAGATCATTGAATACAAAAGAATATGCAAGCCCATAAAACGAACCGATAAACATATTTTTAAGCTTGTGAGGAAAATAGTGTAAGGAATGCGAAATTATTCCGCGTTTTTTCTTTCCTCTTCTTTTTTCAATCTCTAATAAATATCCCAGTATTATGTCTTGTCAGGAGTTTGAAAATTACGTAAAAAATGAATATATTATCTGCATGCTTGGCTATTAAATGCTCTATTTGCAACCTGATATCTCCATTATAATGTTTTATTTCTTCTTTGTGTTTTATTTTCCTCGTGCTGATAAGAAATAATGAGGATAAAATTTGAGAAAAAAATATTTTGAAAAAAAAAGAAAAAGAAAAAAAAATTCTCTTTTTTTTGCCACAATAATAGTTACGCATAAAAGAGAGTCGAAAAAATGAGTTTTTCCTCGCTGATTGCACTGTAAAATGTTCTGGATTAAATTAAGGTAAAAAGTACCGGATCTCAGGGTGCCAGTACTTTTTACCGTTAAATCCCTTTCTACCAGAACATGTTACGAAACAAAAAAATATTACATACCGTAATTTTTATTGGAATAATTACCGTGAAATCAGTGAATCACTCTAATGAAATAAATATCACTGTAAAAATTATTACGATATAATATTTTACGGTAAAAAGGAATTTTTAGGTAAAATGCATTTTACGGATGAAGGCACCTAAAGTCCTTATACTTTATACCGTAATTGAACTGGAATTTCTTACAGTGTTGCACAATACGAAAATAGTTCTTTGGGATAAAGAAAGGAAAAATTTTACCAAAATTTTCGATTTGTAATTTTCTCTTCAGACACAAATTTTTAAAAAATTTAAAATTTATTCCTTTTTGTTAGTATTTCAACAAGAGCACGAGAAAAACTGAGAGGTAGTTTTTGTTAGTGACAATCAGCGTTCACGTATTGACATGAATTTTTTTTATTTGTTTAGCGTTTATCATTTTACTTCGTCGCAGTACATCAGAAAGCTTTAAAAGGTACACATTTTACATGTAATAATGCTACAAATAAACAAAACTATATATGTAGGGGAGAGAGGGCTAGCTTGAACAGGTTTTACAAATTTGCTAAGAGAGCTTAATAATCATTATTTTGTAAGTATTTTGTAATTTTTTAATTAAAGTCTAAACGATTATTTTCTTTTTAAATGATAGGTTAGATAATTTGGATTTATAGTTTCTTAATAATGGATTTTTTTTAAAAAAGGGTTGTTTAATATAAAAGTTAATATTAGAGAATAATAAACACTTCAATTCCTACTTCAGGGCTTTCCCTTGACTATTTTAGGTTGTAGCAAATGTTACTATTTAATATTTAATTTTTGATATAATAAAGTTAATTCACAGTGATGTAGCCACATTGATAATTAAACAGCTAAACAAATCCATAAGACCTGATGTTAAAGCTAGAAAG